CCTCATATATACCCTTTTGACTTTTGATTGTTTCTTGAGATTTTATTTCAGTGTTGCTATTTTAACATGTTGCTAATAACTATGATTGATTCGTTTTGATAGGACATGTCTAGAAGAACTATTGATTTAAAGTTGAAGGATTCGAGTAGGAAAGAAAAACTATTTTGACCAACATATATATAGTTTATTTACTGGCCACACAATTGTATTTAACCATTTATATATGACACAATTGTAAATATAATGATAAGATGTTGGGTTCAAGTATGTTCCATAAATACTTGAGAGATCAAAAATATTTGAATTAATGTTGAAAAATAAGTTCGGGATGTAGCGAAATGTAATGTTCCTCTAGTAGAGCTAATATATATTCCTAACATGTTTATAGCACTATGACTTTTAATATTACTCGTTGGTTACACAATCTATTTGTCATATGAATTTTTGTGAGATAGATCTTTGGAAGGATTTAACGTGTGACATTTGTTGTCCCTTGAGGTTCGAATCAAGCCTATTATGTACGAGTGATAGGGGTTAGAAAATACGAGTCATGGATCGCCCATGTTAGTGACCCGACACACTAGACATACAAAGGGTTAGAGTGAGTAAATTTAATTTGGATTTCAAATCTATGACTTCCCATAACCTCCCATAACTCCTATAAAAAACTTCTAATTCTTGTCTAGTAATAGAGAGAGAAAAAGACGGTAAAAGATAAGTGAAATTTGTATAGAAAATCACTCAAAAATAGAAAAAAGCGCCTAGAATCACATATATGACATGGAAACTCACAAAACTAGGCATTTAAATTGTGAATAATAATCACCTTCCATTATGATCGGGGTTGAGACAATTGGAAAATAAGTAAAATCAGATTTTGGAGTTTTGAAATATAACGTAATTCAACCACATAAGGATCTTGAAATTCATCATTTCAAATAAGAAATTTGATCCGAATTTATGTTAAAGTGTGCGTCGAATTGCTTTTGTTGCGATTTTTGACATACGTGATAAGTGTGTTTTTGCACACTTATTTAATGCCTAAATATACTTTTTATTGATAAAATTGAATAAAATTCTATTCACAATTACGTAATATTTGCTTTTGTAGACCAAAAATCACACAAGGAAAGAGAACAAAGCAGAATGATGAAAAAAGACTATAAGTGTACAAAAATTGTGAAGTTGAAGACCAAAGTGAACAAGGAAAAAAGTTGAAGGATCTTGAGTGCAATTTATGAAGGGCATAATTGATATAAAAGTCAAAATTCGAGGACCAAATTGTATAAGATAAAAGTTTAGGGGACCTGATGTGCAATTATATCAAGGACTTGGGCTATAATTTTTGGAAAATAGTTTGAAATTGTTAAAAACCCTTCCTGGGCACACTGCAGCTGTTCCGTCTATGCTGTTTTCTTTCCTTTAGGCAGTATCTAACCACACAGTGGCAAATCGATACTAATCCGGTAGGTCTGGACGACTTTGTTTGCTCCAGCTTGGCAAATCGCATCCCCGCACAACGGCATTTTTCTTCTTTCATTTCATTTCATTTCTTTTCCATTTCAATAACTTGCAATTTTGAGGTTATAAATCAAGAGTACAAGGAGAATACACTCAAAAATTTAGAGAAATATTTGAGGAAATCAAGGCCAAGCTTCAAAAAATGGGTTTTATCTATACTTTGTATTCTCTTATTTATTTTGCCATTTTTGTAATGAATGTTATGTATATTCTCTTTTGTTATCAAATGTGTAAAATGAGATAATTAAGTGTGTTGGAATTTGTGGTATTAATTTAACATAGCTTTTAATTAATTTTAATATTTGCTCTTTAATGTTATGTTATTTATTTTCATGTGCTTCTACTGTTGTATTTCATACATTTTCATTTATGCGGCCAATAGATGATTGTGTTTAGTGATTTGTGTATCGTTCGAGAGAAGATTGTGCATTTTAGGCCAAATAGTAGAAACCCTAAGTTTGTTTAGTAGATAGAGATATACCATTAGTCCTAGGTGACCCAATGAGTTATTTTCACAAATATTTAATGCGGCTGTTTGGTTTGAATCGACATAGAGATGTAGTATGTTTAATCAATCAATTATGTTTAATTTTGCTCGAGAGAGATAATTAACTAAATTTGAGAAATCGGATCTAACATCATAAATGAGTAATTTATTGATTGGTTTGTGAAGAAATTAATTAAGCGATGTTTAAGCGAAACCATGAATACCAACCACGTTTTTCCTCCAAAATTTTCAAGTATTTGTGTTTTTCCTATTTTGTAGATTTTTAACTTATTTACCGCTTTTCAAATCTCAATAGGTTAAATCAATCAATTAGGGTTTATTTCACTCGAGAGAGGTAATTAACTAAAATTGGAAGATCGGGTCTAATATTGGAATTAAGTAATGCGTTAATTGATTTATAGAGAAATTAATTAGGCGATGGTTAAGCGAAACCACGAATCCCAACCGCGTTCTTTCTCCGAAATTTCCAAGTATTTGTGTTTTTCTTATTTTGTAGATTTTTAGTTTATTTACCACTTTCCAAATCTCATGTTTAATTGTGTGTGTTTCATTTGATTGTTAGAATTTAATTGATTAAAGTCGTGTAATCTAGAGTAGCATTCCTTGAGGGATCAACAACTCGGACTTAAAAAAGTCAATTTTTTTACTTGAACACGATCCGTGCACTTGCGGTATATTGTTTTAGAGAACAATACGCATTAGAAGGAAAAGTGTTAAAAGATATACGAATAATATAAAAAACAAACAAATAAGGACCACGGGTTGCAATTCTAGATGATGGTAGGTACTAGGCTGGCAAGAAAGTTCTCTCTAATGCTAGTCTTTATTAATCTTTGCTAAGTATCGTCGTTTCCATCTACCACTTATCCAATTTGCAACGATACCCATGGGGAGTGGGGACATGAGCAATTTTCTGGTGAACTCCACTGTCGTGTCTGTAGCGTTGTTACCAATATATCAGCCACATCGATGAATCAGAGATATTAAATCTTGATCAAATGCTCAATGCCTGATGGCACCTCCTCGACTAATGTACAGTTTGACATGATAAGATTTTGGAGACTGGGCATGAACGAAGATACAATTCCTCGAGTCTCAAAAACCCTCCACCCTTGAACGATAATTCTTCGCATGAACTAAAAGGATTTTCTTCTTCTTCTTTACTATTGTTCAATTGCCTCAAACATCAGACAATTTTCTTTTCTTTAATATTGTAGATCTCATCCAATCCATAGCCTGCCATCATAGTAAGAGATTATTCTTAACTTGGTCATGGTATTCCTTTCATGAAATACAAGTTCAACCCAGTTTTAACTTCAACGGGGACTGCACTGGCATTCCTCGTCACCCATTGACCTCGGCCAGGTAAGTACCACAATTATTGTTATAACTTCGTTTTCGTAAATGATTATCATAAAATTTCATCTTTGATGTGATTGAAAATTAAACTGGAGATATGTAGAACCTCCTCAAACTAGACGAAACAGCTTTTAGGAAATATTGAAAATTTTAACGATTGAAATTCTCTGGAACCATTATTAGGGGCTAATTCTACTAATTTAAAAGGATGCGGATGAGATTGCAACGATTTGAGCAAAGACTGGGTCCCATATTTGCAATTTACCGTTTCAACAACAATGCAAACGGATTAGTTTCTCACCAATGAATATGACAAAAGTAATCTTAAAAAGAAATTTCCACATCAATTATGAAAAATGGGTCCTCAATGTATGGTTTAACATTCTTTTAAATTGAAAATTAATTTATTTGTTTCACATAAAATGGTCTAGCAAATTCTTTACTTCATCCTTCTACCTAGGCATGTCAACGTGCACCAAGCAGCCCAACGCAGACCTTTCCATGCCGGCTTTGCACGGGAGCCCTGCCCAAAAACTTTACATATCTAGATGTAGCACATCATTACCATATAGCAAAAGAAAAATCAGAGATTGGATCCTGCTAAATCTACAACATATTTATGCTTTATAGTTTTCTAGAAACAGCTTCCAAAGAACTGTTGTACATGAATTCCAAACAAAAAACACAAGGAAAAAAAAAAAAAATTCCATAAGAACAGAGGAAGTGGAACTAGTACTTCCATTAATGGAACTGGAACCATATAGAGAAAATCTAATACTAGATTCATTGTTCTTAGTCATACACATATGTGAAAGCCACAAGCTAAAACATGCAAGTTATAGTAGAAGACTGCTCAAGCACTGCCCTTTATGGGTTCACTGGATGCACCTTTATTGCCCATTTCTTCAAAATAATCCTCTCGGGCATTATCAGCCAACATCAGGGCAACCAACCAGAAAAGGGCAGAATCAAGCGATAGAAAGGCACCTCCACCTAGAAGTCCTGTCTTAGCCGTAGGGCATTGAGTTTTGAGATTGTGGTGAACATTCCGAGCATGATGGAGCTGCTCTGTGATTGTAGGCCATAACAACATTGCTGCAGCTAATCCAGTCACGCCCCTTCAAAACATGAGCTTTAGAAAATGAACACAAATAATGATGGAAATATCAAATGCATGAACAGCAGAAAGTGAGCTTACAGGAGATAAAATTAGAGCATGTACGGTCGGCTAAGCTAAAAACGGTAATAGGTACTTTAAGCAACTTTTTGTTTCAACCATGTTCAGATAACTCGCCTTTTCTTAATTCTAAGGAAAAGATTTATTTTAAAAGAAAATCTTAATTTGCTGTCAAAATAAGTAACTTGTACTCCACTTTCACCAATAAAGCATTAACACTTGTAAGACAAGTAAATATGTTTATAAGCTAACTTTTTAAACTTGAACAATCAGGCTCTAAACCTTTTTAGGATTATGTATTGAAAATTACATGGCCAATATTTGGCTTACTGATCTCAACATCGAACTGTCCATCAATTTGTAATATGGAAGGTATCCACCAATATAGCAATTTCACAATAGTGCTGTGGTAAACGATGATATATCTAATAAGATCATTAACAGACCTAATAGTTATTTTTATTTATTATTTGGAAAACATGCTGATGGACCTAATCACAACACCGTTAAAGCAATATACAAAGAAAAGGACTACCAAAAAGCAATTGATAAAATCATCAAACGTTAAATATAATCAAAAAGTTTACTCACAAGGCAATATTGAAGAAGACGATGAAGCTAGTTTTTCGGAATAAAGCTGCCTGCGGAACTGACTTTCCTTTGTATGGGTAAAACAAAGATAAATAACCAAATGCAGTACAGAGAGCAAGGAATGCAACGGACAAGTAACCCAACACTACAGTGGGATCAGATGGATATTTGCAAATAACAACACCCTTCCCAGTTATAACATTTCCTGATGCAGGCTGCAAAATCCAAGCAGAGAAGAAGCAAAAGATAATGTTGCATTACAAAACAAATACATTACTATCTGAATGAGGCGGTTCAAAAGTTATAAAAATATTGCTTACATTACTCATGTATAATGTTTTTAAAATTTGCTTAGAATTATAAGGAAAAAAACATTCTATGCATTGATATTTTGTTACTTACAACCAACACACTGAACAACATGCTTTATCACCCAAGCAGACGTCACATAGATCCAGAATAATATAAAAGGGATTCCTTTAAAGGAAGATTTCCATCTTCCGTTTAGCGTTTAGTTACCAAAACACTTGGATGACATTCAAGAATGAAAATGTGAACATATGGGCATGCTAGTATAGTTCAAGATATGAGACACAAAAAATCCAATTAGATTTAAAAATGAAAAAAGAGGTTGTAGCAAACAAGTATGCAATTGTCTGAATGAGAAGGCTTCAAAAATTATATGAATCTCACTTACATCCTTCATGTATATTTGGTTTTAACTTTAGCTAAGAATTCTATGAAAAGACACCAAAATCGACATTTTGTACATTCCACCTATATTACTCAAGAGGATTGTCAAATATAAAACGATTGCACCAGATGGGTATACCAGTCTCTTTGCTGCTAAATATAAAAACAAAACTAATCAAAATTCACCAGTCAAATTCTAGTTCAACAAGTTAAAGTTTATCATTTTCCAAGAATGGCATTATAGAATGGGAAACATTCATCATGGACCATTCTATATGCACAAAAATAAACACTTTTTCGTTCTTGCACGAGGCCAAAGTTGTTCCTACTTGTTATTATAAATATAATATAACAAAAGAAAATATACCAATCAAGCTAAAAAGGGAAAAAATAATGTAGTGAAAAGAACATGACAACACAAAACAAACCTAAAATTTAACTACAAATGCTAAAAGCAACCTAGAGTTCCAGTAATATTCGGGGTAAAAACATTTGATCAATCAACTAAAATTATGAATATAATAGCACTTGATAAAAGTATGAACATGCTTCAATTGTTCTCTTGAGATAAAATTTCAACCTTCTTGTTTTCAGCAATAACTCCAGCTATGAATGACAGAATACCAAATGTTGACACTATTATAGACATTTGTTTCATAGTAAACGCCATTGTTTCTTCAACTTTAGGAAGCTACCTGCATCAATTTTCACCATAAAGATCAGAAAATCCGAAATTAAATTCGACCCACAAATAATATCATAAGATTGAATAAAAAGGGTTTTTTTTTCCCTATTATTATGTCAAATTAAATCCAATAAATTCCAAAAATTTGAAAAAGACGACCCCTTTTAATACCAATCACACTCCTTCAAAGAAAAACAAGAATTCTAACTAAAGATTAACCATTGTACAGTCAAATACTCAAAAATCATTAAGAAAAACAGATTAAAAAAAGAGAAAAATATATATACCTCTGCGCACCAAAAGAATTGATGAAGATAAAATCAGATCTCTTTACAAGTATGTGGGTATGTATATTTATGTTCAACGCTGAGTTGAGAGTAGTGATGAAGAAGATAACAATTGCTGACTTCTAATTGGGTAATTATTTGAGAATTTGTATTCTAAGTGGAATCTAATTAAAACTAGTTTTCCTAATGGGGTGGGGTTCCCTGCAACAGATAACACAGGCTTGTCGGTCTGTACACACGTTGATATAGACTATTGGATGATTATATGACAACGGGCCGGGCTATGATGGAACCGGAGAGATTGTGCAAGTGAATGTGGTCGAGATTTTGAGAGCAGTCCGTTTGGGGGAACATCATGTGTGGGCCCGGTTTGACTTTCTGCATCGTTTTTAGGAGTGAGATTTTTAAGGGTTCTGCTACGTGTGCGTAGCAATATACGTAGGAGTGTCCATAATGGACAAATGGCACCCTATATTGGAGGGATCCGATTTTTAATCGAAATGATTGTCTTGAAGGTGGAGATTTGGAATCAAATTTGTCATTTATTATTATTTATTATTTTTTACAATCTATGCACTGTAATTCAATAATTTAACCCAACAAGTAGCAAATTCACAAGATTCAGACAATATGCGCCCTGGGTGTTATTTGTCCATTATGGATCCGATTTTTAATTGAAATTGATTGTCTCGAAGTTGGAGATTTGGAATCAAATTTGTCCATTTTTATTATTTTTTCATTTTTTACAATTTATTCACCATAATTCAACTATTCAACCTAACAAGTAGTAAATTTACAAAATTTGGACAATAATAAGTTTGCAAGACCAAATTAGTAAGTACCATAATAGACTGCATGAAGGTACTTTCGAAATTGAATGCTATTATACTACATGTCCATTTGATTGCAATAGTGAAAAATGAGTAGAAAAAAAATGAATTTCAGGGAAAGTAATTGTCTATAAATTGTTTTGTAGGGAATTGTTAATTAAGTGTGTTTGATTGGTATAATTTTCTATCCGGAAAAATTTTGAATTTTTTTGTTCACGTTTGACTTTATTTTATATGAAAATTGTCCATTAAAATGATTTTTTTTTTACAATTGATTAATTTGTTAACATTGCCAAAAAGAAATTTATTCACCATAATTCAACTATGCAACCTAACAAGTAGTAAATTTACAAAATTTGGACAATAATAAGTTTGCAAGACCCTATTAGTAAGTACCATAATAAACTGCATGAAGGTACTTTCGAAATTGAATGCTATTATACTAAATGTCCGCTTGATTGCAATAGTGGAAAATGAGTGGAAAGAAAATGAATTTCAGGAAAAGTGATTGCCTAGAAATTATTTTGTAGGGAATTGTTAATTAAGTGTATTTGATTGGTATAATTTTCCATCCGAAAATTTTTTGAAATTTTGGATTTTTTTTTGTTCACGTTTGACTTTATTTTATATGAAAATTGTCCATTAAAATGATTTTTTTTTTTTCAAAATTGGTTAATTTGTTAACA